TATAATTTTATCTTACTTTTTATTTTATAAGTATAATTTGAATTATTTATTTTATAATTAAATTAATTTTTTTAAAATCTTTTATAAATTTACATATAAAAATGTATTGAAACCCCTCGATCTTTGAGGGTACCGTAGTTACTCTCTTTAAAAAATAGAAAAAATATATATATTAAAATAATATGAAAAAAAAAAAAAGAAGAAAGAAAGTAGATATAATAGAGAAGAGAAGATAAAAGCTAAAATCATTCATTTCATTTCATTCATTCACTCTCAACAAAACTCTCTCTCTCTCAATCTCCTTACCTTGCAAGCACCCCACCACACACTGTCCAAAGTAAACCGATCAAAAGCCCATAAACGTGAAAAATTATTCTCCTGGGATTCTCCTCCACCGATGCAGATTGAATTTCAGGAATCGTGTGTGTCTGCTATATGTAATCACCCTTTCCATGTTTTTATTCATTCGATCTGTGACGATCATAATGCCACTCATCGGAAACTTGTTGATCATGTGATTGTGTTCTTCTTCCCCCTAATCCTCTGTTTTTTTGCTTTTTTCTCTTTTTTCTTTTACCTTTTTTTTTCCTTTCTGGTTGCGTATTCGGCAAGTGTACTTGTTGAAACAATTATATGATCTGGGAAAGTCACAAGAAAACAACGAAAACAAAAGAAAAATTAAAAGTTTTTTTTTCACATACCCTTGAATAATTGATCGCAAGAGTGGTTCCTATTGCAAGCCCTGTTTCTTGGTGTTTGGTCATGGACGATTTTTTTGCTGGGTAGGTTATTCGTTTTGATTGGGGTGATCTCACCTTGATGAATTGCGATGACTTCACGTGAAGAGAGATTTTTAACTTTGATAACAAAATTGGAAAATTCCTTTCTTTTTGTTTGGAATATCCCACCGTTTGGGGGAATGAATACCATACTTCCCCTCAAAGTTTTCGTCTTTGGATTCACTTTCAAATATTCTGTTTACTTTCTGGTTTTGCATGTTTTTTTTTTCATCTGGGTCATCTAATACCTAAATCAAGAATTTTATACAACTATCGGTGTGGATTTCCTTCTTTGGCTCTGAAATTTTTTTATTTGGTAGTTATGATTTTTTAATTGTTTTGGTCTTTTTGATCTTCCTCTCTCATAGGAGGATCATGATTTGTGGGTGTAAATGCATGCCTTCCGGTGATTGTAGCTCATAATTGATAATGTCACAATAAGTGAAGACAAGTGGTCATATAATTCAATTTCCTTTTTTGTGTCACATAATGGGTTTATGTAAGTATGTTTTTGTTTGTAGGTTTGAGACCTGAGATTTGCTAGTCAATTGTGTTTTTGAGGTACACACTTTTGCAAACTAGTAGAAGAGTTTTTCAGTTACTATAAATTAGAGAAAAAGATAAATCAATTAATGTAGTAATAAATTTGCACATATTTTCATAATTAGCAGAAGCTTAGATCTTTCCTTCTGCAAAAGTTTTGGGCACTGCATAAGGTTTGGCAGTGCCCATGGATGCCACAACCAGCGGAACCCCTACTATCCAATACCATAACATCCCTGATCAGCCAATTACTGCCATTATTGCCTCTCCACTTCCAACATTTCAAAGGCAGCAACGCCATTGCTTTGGGGACTCCACTCCTGGAGAGTTTCCCTTGTCTGCTAATCCTTCCATTGTCCTTCATGTCCTCACAACATGCAATTTGGACCCTCAAGACCTTGCTAAACTAGAGGCAAGTGCCACTATGCTTTTTCTGTGCTTATCTCCATTTCACGAGAAATTATTACATGGTTCAGACAAATATGGTTCTAATTAATCTCCTCATGACATAATTGAGTTTTATTAACTCTTATATAAACTAAAAAACTCAATTATGTATCATGAAGAGTATGACCAGAACCATAGGATCATAGCCACATGGTGGTGCTCAATCATGAAATAATTTCTCCTTCCATTTCAGTTGTGAACTGTTCTTAAAAATTACCAAACAACCAATGTGAAAATAATGCTAGCTTTGATTTGACGTGCCTGTTGCAGGCAACATGTTCCTTCTTCAGGCAGCCTGCAAACTTTGCTCCGGATTTGGACTTGTCCTTATCCGAGCTTGCTGCACTAGACATGTGCCAGAAGAGAGCCATCTTCAAGCCAATGACAACAGAACAACGCCAAGATTTGAAGCGAAGGTGTGGAGGTTCTTGGAAGCTGGTGCTGAGGTATTTGATGGCTGGAGAGGCATGTTGCAGGAGGGAGAAGTCTCAGGCTATAGCAGGTCCTGGTCACAGCATTGCTGTGACATCTAAAGGGATTGTTTATTCATTTGGATCCAATAGTTCAGGACAACTTGGACATGGTACCACTGAAGAGGAATCACGACCTCGACCAATAAGGTTGGAACATGTGGATCATATTGCAACTTACCATGTAAACTTAAGGGTCACTGTTAAGTAAACTAGTTGATTTTAAATAATTAATGGAACTGCATTGTATTTCAGAACCTTGCAAGGAATTCGAATTATACAAGCTACAGCAGGGGCTGGCAGGACAATGTTGGTTAGTGATTCAGGAAAGGTGTATGCATTTGGAAAAGACTCATTTGGGGAAGCTGAGTATGGAGTTCAAGGTTCTAAAACGGTTACATCTCCGCAGTTAGTGGAGTCTCTTAAAAACATATTTGTTGTTCAAGCTGCAATTGGTAATTTCTTCACAGCTGTATTATCGAGAGAAGGCAGGGTTTATACATTTTCGTGGGGTAGTGATGGCAAACTTGGTCACCACACTGATCAAAGTGATGTGGAACCTCGCCCTTTATTAGGTGCTCTTGAAGACATACCTGTAGTGCAAATTGCTGCTGGATATTGCTACTTGCTTTGTTTGGCTTGTCAACCAAGCGGAATGTGAGCTCCAACTATATTCTGTTTTTCTTTCATATTGCTATTTTTTTGTTTAAAAAAATTAAAAGAATAACTCTTAATGTTAAATTATATGATATAAATTTGAAAATTCTTTAAAGCATGCTAATCTGTCAAAGGGAAAATACAATTTTTCTAATTATAAATATGCTGATTCTTATTCTTAAAATTTATAGGTCAGTATATTCTGTTGGGTGTGGCTTGGGGGGCAAGCTTGGACATGGATCAAGAACGGATGAAAAGTACCCTAGATTGATTGAACAGTTTGGGTTGCTGAACCTCCAACCCATGGTTGTTGCAGCAGGTGCTTGGCATGCTGCTGTGGTGGGGCGGGATGGTCGTGTTTGCACATGGGGATGGGGTCGATATGGTTGCTTGGGGCATGGGAATGATGAGTGTGAATCAGCACCTAAGGTGGTGGAAGCATTGAACAATGTCAAAGCTGTTCATGTTGCCACAGGAGATTATACAACCTTTGTAGTGTCTAATGATGGTGATGTGTATTCATTTGGGTGTGGAGAATCTGCTAGTCTTGGACACAATGCTGTTGGAAATGATGAACAGGTCTGTTTTGTTCTGCCTTTTAAAATGTTTGACATGTTTGACACATTTTCTTTCCCTTATTTTTTGATTTTGCACAATCATAACACCATGAGCTCTAGCAAGTGAATACAATAATTGAAATTTGTAGAAGTTATAAATTATATGCTTTGTATTCTTTAACATTTTCAATTATAAATTATATTCACTTCACATAAAGTAAACTATAATGTGATTGTATTTGTACAGGGTAACAGACATGCAAATGTGTTAAGTCCGGAACTTGTTACCTCACTGAAACAGATCAATGAACGGGTGGTGCAGATTAGTCTGACAAATTCTATATATTGGAATGCTCATACCTTTGCCCTCACTGAATCAGGGAAGCTGTATGCATTTGGAGCCGGAGATAAAGGACAACTGGGAATTGAGCTTGTTGCTAACCAAACTGAAAGGGGAAATCCAGAAAGGGTTGAAATTGATCTCGGTTAATTGTTCGTGCCTTAATTCTTTGCTTGTCATCTAATTTATGGTCATGCATAGCATTTAGTATTTAAATTCCTTGTCTATTTTGTAAATATAATCAAAGAATGCATCCTGAAGGTCCAAGGTAGGTAAAAGCTAACAAGGGCCTTAGCTACTGTGGTTGTTGATATCATCACTCTTAGGCTTCATCCGGTTGTTGATAGTTGATACATTGGTGAAGGTTCATTTATAGTTTAGTTGAAACAGTTTGTTAAATTTAGCATTCATTTATCATCAAAATCATCATGGTTTGGATTATTTAATCTTTGTATTACTTTGATAAAGAATAGGTGTTAGTTGTTTTAAAGACAAACTTTAAAGAAGATTTTTTTTATGACATTATTAAGTTTTCAAATCAAATGATGATATGCAATTTTTTTTATAAATAAATTGCATAAAAAATATTCATATATCATTGTTTGATTTTAAAATTTGATAGTGATGACAAACTCGATAGATAGAATGAGGGATGAATGAATTATTAAATATTTCACATTGAATAATTAAAGTTAAATTATTTAGATAATTAATATAAATTTCACTTTTTATCTTTGGTTTTAATTTTTAAAATGATTAATTTTAGTTGGTCTTTAATATTTTTTCTTGAGATTAAAGAGGTGTTTACATGAATAGAATGTCTCATGTTTATAATTTTGATAGATTACATCTTTTTTTTTTTTAGACAAATGGTGATTAGAATATTTGATCTTAATTATTCTTTTTCTTTTTCTTTTTTTATCAATTAAACTCTAATTTTCATTTTAAATGTTTAAATGTGAAAATTATAATCATAACTTTATTTTTTCATCCCTTATGACATTGTGTCTATAATTTTATAGAATTATCTGTATTCTATTATGTGGTTTTTTTTAGTAGGGTTATTTTTATTATTATATTGTTAAATAATTTTGATTTAAATGTGATGTTTTATAAATTTATTGTTATATCAAAAGTTTTTATTTTTAAATCATATATATATAATTTTATATTAATTTGTTAATTTTATACTTCATTCTTATAAAATAAAATTAATATAATATATTTATTTTAAAATATAAATATTATAATTATCTTCAAATTGTTTAATTTTAACACAAATTTGATATAAATATAATATAAAGTTGTAATTAATTTAATAATTAGATGATCAAAATTTATATTTAATATAAATTTATTGAGTAGTGTGATAGTTAATAAAAATTATATAGTTATTATTTGAATCTTTTATATATATATATATATGTATTTTTTTTAATTTTAAAAATAATAATGTGTTAGTTGTCATGATTCACCAACACATACAATAATTTTATAAAATTATGCAGTTTAAGTAGATATTTACATAACTACATTTTTAAATACTATATTAGTTGTCATGTAGAGATTCACTAACATTATGTGACAATAGTTTTTCTTTTTAGAAACATTTTTATTTCATTCAAAATAATAACAAATAATTAATTTGATGTTACAATAGATTTGTTTTAGTCTACATTGCCATAATTGTTTACTAGATTAATAAGATTTGAATTTAAAACTGTGTACGCTATTTATATTTTTTTTTCCTCTACCAATTTTAGTGGGTTAGTTTGTTTAATTTATTAATTTATTTAGAATTAATGTTTTGTATTTAATATTTTCAATAGTGGTTACATAGATTTACATAATTTCCTTGTTTAAACATTATCATTGTAGTTTTTTTTCTCTCTTCAAAATGCTTCAATGTTGAAAATATTTCTAACATTTCTTTATTTGTTATAATTAATGTTTTTAACATTTTATTATTAATATTGACAAGAATTTTTATTTTATAAATTTTAATTAAATATTAAATATTTATAAATTGATGTATTTATTTATTATTTAAATTATAGATTGAATGAAAAATCATGTCATGAATTTTCATTATTTAAATTTGTAATTTAATTTAACAATAAAAAGTTAAATTATTTGAACTCTTCTAATCAATTATAACACATTTGAATTATATTTATGAAAAAAATGTATTTTTATATTTCATGCTTCAAATGTAGTGAAAAATATAACATTTTAATTCTTTTAATTGTGGTTTAAAAAATTCTTTTAATTATGTCATTATTTTCATTTCTGTTGGAGTTTCAAGTATCTCTAAAATTATATAAAATATTAAAAAAAAAATGGTTCAGTAATATTTACGCAGTTGATTTAATTTTCACAAAATGGTTATAATAAATTTAAGTAATTTATATGCTCTAATTATAAATTAAAATAAGATGTGAACTATAAAAATATTAATATTGCTATGATTGTCATTATTTGTTTAATATTTTTATAAAATTGTTTATTTTCTTATATTTATCTTTTTTAGTAATTCTTATAAATAATATTCTTGATATTATTATATTATTATTATTATTTTCATTAATTAAAAAAGTCAGACTAATTTATGGAATTGGTAAGAATTCAAATTTGTAATAATGAGTGTGATTTTAGTTATTTTTTATGTACATTTTTTTATAAAAGTAAAGTATATGTGAAAAAAATTATTTATTTAATTTAATTAACTTTTACCAATGTGTATATGACAAATAAATAAATATCCATTTGATAATTTGTCTAAAATATTATTTTATAAAGATGTCATAGTAATTTACAAAAAAGAAATTATCATAACATTTTAAATCATCATATTTGTTGAACACGCTAGAAACTGAATTGAAGTCTAAATATACAAAAGAAATGGTAGTATGTATTTGACTAAAGATGGTGTAAAATGACATTATATAAACTTTATAAAATAAATTATATTAATATATAATATTTTGATATTACATAATTTATCATTTATTCTTGAATTAAGTCTCCTTAGTTTATTTAAATTTGACCATAAGGCTTCTGCAAGTCAAATTGAAGAAAACAATGTTATAATTAGTCATGGATGTTTTGATTAATAAACAAACTGTTGAGAACATATCAAATTAAAATTACATCATTAACTTATAATTAAATATAATATTTGTTATTATCATCTATAAACCTTAATATTTATTTCAACTAAATTTATTAACTATAATATAATCACTCGTGCATGTATTTTTATGATGCGTGAGACAAATTATTCTTTAGAAAGCAATTAAAAATGACAATAGAAATGATGATTTTACATATTGATTTCCCGACAAATAATAGAGGAATAAATGAAGAAAGCATGATAAAAATAAACTATATATTAATTCACAATAGTGTTATGAATCATCTACAATCATTTTCATGCTATGAATTAACTTAAATTGTATGTATAAGCATAAAAATAGTGTTATAATGAATAACAATTGCATGTATATATCATAAAATAATAAAAAATAAATTTTAAAAAAAATCCAGTACATGTATATAAAAATAAGGTATCAGAAATTTGGGGACGTTGTTTTCTTTATCAATCATAAGAATCTTTAAATCATTACGTAATGCAAGTAAAACAATATTGTTAAAATCTATTGAGACTATGTGAATAAAAAATGGTGAAAGTTTTACAAATCATTAGATACAGATAAAATTTCATATATAGCATAATGAAAAAATTAATCGTATTTTTTTTGAAGAGAAAAATTTAATCATAATTGCATATTATCCATCAAGAATAATATATACTAACCCTCCCATGATGACACCCCCGCTTGTCATCAAGGGGCATAATTTTGATAAATTTCACCTAATAGACAAAAAATGCTCTATATGAAAATCGTTATTACGGTTGAGTAAAATGGTTATTATAGCAGCATCTTTACTTTTAACAGAGTCATGAAAAAGCCACTCATCGAGTGGCGTGGAATAATCACAAACATTATCAAACACCTTTACACCATCCAAAATCACAAACTAAAATGACCCTCAAACCCGTAAACCCCGGATTGTATGGGTACATTCTTAAACCACCCACCACCTTTGTAATCACTAAATTATGCATTCCCCTCCCTTTCCATTTGTGCTCCTACTAGTTGGTTATTGTTGCTATGATCCTATGGACGGGAGTACACCTACAATATTAGTGTTGGCTGTGAGGAATCAGAGAGCAATGCAACTAAAAAATTGTAGGATTCACATGGTGGTGCTCCGGTGCATCATTTTGGGGTTGTTCAACGAGTTGGGAGTTTGATGAGTTGAGTCGGGGGAGGGTTAATATGGGTGCGGGGTATGCATAGAGACATTGCTAAGGAGAGAAAGAGAAACGGGAATGGGAGGAAAAAAACAGTTTATTTAAATTATTTTATTTTTTTTAATTTAGTCCCGTTGATATTGTTTTTATTTGCCACTGTTCACCCCAGTATTTTTCATAACTTGAGAAACAATGTTACCCATAAAAATTATAGAGTTTAATCAGTTTGTCCAACACCTCTAGCACTTGATTTTAAATTATCAAATTTCCATAGGAGAACCACCTTGTTCTCCAGCAGCACCACCTTGATCTGCGCCAGAACCCTGTTCTGCAGCAGCATCCTGCTCGGTGGCTGGTTGAGTTTCAGCTGGAGGGACTTCCTCCTCCTTCACAATCTCAAAAGTATCAATCAATTGTTGAACAGTTTCCTGGTCCAAAATGTGGAAGGGCTCACCAACTCCAACCACAGCAATAGTGCATACAGAACTCCTGAGCTTTTCACCTTGCAAGGACTCCCTAGTTGCGATAAGTGCATCTTTGATCAGATCTTCTCGTGAAGAGCCCATGAAATTCTCATACCTACGTTCCAAGTATGTCTTTGCAGCTTGTGAGCGAGATCCAATAGCAAAAGCCTGATATTCAAAATAGTTTCCACTGGGACAGTTGTAATAGAGGTGAGCCCCAGATTCATCTAATCCAGCAACCAGAAGACCAACCCCATAAGGACGTTTCCATGATCGCTGTGTGCAAACCTGCAACTCAAAATTGCATCACAAATACTGATGAGAAAGACATTTTTCAGTTTTAATAAATTTTGCAGATAAATTTTTCTTTCTACCCTCTTTTGCCACATAATTCTGCAGTTACAAGCACAAGCTTTGCCTCCCATACCCTATTCATTCAATTTTCTACAACTAAAACACAAGTATAACTTGTATATCATAAAACAATATAGATTAGCTAATCTAATATCTTCCTCATCGTGAACTAAACATCAGTTTCCAATAATGTAACTACTAACCACCTGAAAGAACCTAAAACCAATAAAATAAACGAGGGAAAGGATGGTTACTACTCCAGAATATGTTGTTCATCGGACTTTCTATATCTACTTAAATATCTGTAAACCCCAGTAAGAAGAATCCAGGTCAAAATACATTTATCTCTTGAATGAACACAAACTGTTCGATAACATGAACCTAACTCAACTAGGACCTTTACAAGTTACATCAACTTCAACATAACAATAATCCGCATTCCACTTCACTTTGTGAAACAGCCATCTCAGCATAGATTTGCATGACGTATTAACTATGACACAAATACATAACTTGGAAAGACGTCACCAAAAATACTACCATCCTTCAGGATTTCCTCACAGTAAACAGAAACCTGGCAAAGCCATGAGCTATTCAAATTTCAAACAGAAACTGGACCCAAAATGGCAAGGCCTTTCATCACACAACCATAATAGAGGAAGCATATTTATTTAAAATTATATATACACAACCACAATAGAGGAAGCATATTTATTTAAAATTATATATACACAACCACAATAGAGGAAGCATATTTATTTAAAATTATATATACACGTATCAATATTGCAGGCTTTGCAGCCAATTATTAAAATGCTATAGCAAGATTGTGGGAAGCAGGTTAAATATTATAATGTAAACTAAATAATTTATGCTACACATATAAATTCTCAACAAAAAAATTAATGAAAATTCTGATAAATAACAATTCATACTTGCACACTATCAACATCAATCAAGGAGAAATAAGGAGTACATTAATAATGAACCTAAAATGAGAGACTATGGTGAGATCAATAGAAAAAGAGCACAACAAGTCGGATACAACTAAGTAGAATGAGAATTGGGAAATCTAAAATAAGAAGAAAAAATTGAACATGAAAAAAATACTCCTCATAAGTATGAAGGAACAGAGGTATAAAACAGCCATAACTTTTTTATGGAATGGTCAAGGAAGAAGGGTTTCAAATCCTATTATGTTTTTGAAACAAAAAATGCATTCGAGAATAGGGAAGAAATCACGATTTTACACTAAAGACACTTGCTAAAAAATATGGGGTTTTGGAGCTTATATCTTGGCAGCACTGCTCTAGCATGAGAAAAGCCAGAATATTCTGGCTGCATTGGCCGCTATTGGAAACCACTGCTATTTGAAACTCTGAATCCATAGCAGCCTAACACCACTTTGCTCTGCTACTCTGCTATAACACCACCACAGCATCCTATTTATAACCCGCAACAATGCTCACTAAATCACACCCAACCTCTTCCCTAATACAAGAACATCCTCAAATAAAACAGAAGTTCACCCCACATCAGAGAACGAAAATCCACACTCAACCAATTACAAAGAACCGAAATCGATCAGCAACACATCAAAAACCACAATCACGGCCTCAACATCAGGCCTTCCCGGTTTCCACAACCGCAATTGTGGCCATATCAACTGCATTTGTCCGCAATTGTTCCCAATATCAAGGATCTGTAACAACAACAAAACCCTACCACAACCAAGGTTTTAAATCGCAGAAATGCTCTCGTGGCATCCATTGAAATCACGGACAGAAAACAAGGCCACAATTCAATCGCACAACCTAGAATCCAAATTAAAAGCGCAGTCCCGGTTTCAATTGAAATAACTATAAACGCGATGACATGGAGAAATTGGAAAGCGGAAACCCTAGGTGCGGTGATGTACCTGCGCCTTGTCGGCGAGCTGAACGACGAGCCTGCCGACGGGGAGAGGAGACTCGTAGGTGTAGTTGTAGTTAATGCACTCGGATCGCATGTAGCGGGAGAGGACGCGGCCGTCGGCGGTGAGGCCGGCGATGGCGACGCCGATGTGGTTGTCGACCTTGAAGATCTTCTTCTGGTGCGAGGAGAGTTCGGAGTTGGCCTTGTTGACGCATGCGAGAACGACGTGAGTCTTCGATCGGAGCCCTATCGCCGCCGAGCCCTGCTTCACCGCCTCCATGGCGTACTCCACCTGGAAGAGCCGCCCCGCCGGGCTCCATGTGGTGACGTCCGTGTCGTACTGGTTTCGGAACATTCTCGATTCTCAACACCCAAACCCTCGCACACTCACTCCCCTTCCTTCTGCTTCTTCCCTTTCTCTTTTCTTCTTCTTCAAGAACTCTCGCTCGCGCTTTCTCTTTTTGTTGCACAGGACCAGCGTTATACCATAGGGCTTCTGTTGAGATCAAGGTATATTCGTACAAATATTTAATCTGAGAGAATGTATATTATTCAAAGGAAAATGTAAAGCTTATATAAGCGTTTACATAAAAACTAAACTGCTGCATAATGCATGAGAGTTACATATATACAATGAAAAATGGCTCCCTATAAAATAAGAGATTTATTTAAAACATTAAAAACCTTAAAAACTAACTAACTAACAGCTTCAGTGTTGGACAAGTAAGGAGCATCTTCTTTGATCTCCATAGTTTGACTCTTTAGTCCACCGGCCCACTGGGCTCACGCGATTTGGATCGGCCCATCTACTTAATTTTTTTTTTGTTCACGGAATACAAATATATAATGGACCAACAAAACAACACTGATATACTCCCACCAAAAAATTAAACAAATGATGCCCCTTCCACAGATTAGTTACATTTGCCGGTATGAAACAAATTACTGATATCCTAGTTTTTTCTTCTTCTTCAAAATACTTTAATGTTGAAAATATTTTTAACATTTCTTTATTTTTTTTATTCAATATTTTTAACATTTATTATTAATATTGGCCCGAATTTTTATATTTATATTTTTAAAATACACTAATTTTTATTTTATAAATTTTAATTAAATATTCAATATTTATAAATTGATGTATTTATTTATTTTTTGAATTCTAGATTGAATGAAAAACCATGTAATGAATTTTCATTATTTAAATTTATAATTTAATTTAACAATAAAAATTTAAATTACTTGAATTCTTCTAATCAATTTATTTTTATTATTAAAATTAAATAAATAAATATTTTTTTCATTATGTTAATCATTATAACACATTTGAATTATATTTATGAAAAAAATGTATTTTTATATTTCATGCTTCAAATGTAGTGAAAAATATAACATTTTAATTCTTTTAATTGTGGTTTAAAAAATTCTTTTAATTATGTCATTATTTTCATTTCTGTTGGAGTTTCAAGTATCTCTAAAATTATATAAAATATTTAAAAAAATGGTTCAATTATGCCTATGCAATTGATTTAATTTTCACAAAATGGTTATAATAAATTTAAGTAATTTATATGCTCTAATTATAAATTAAAATAAGATGTGAACTATAAAAATATTAATATTGCTATGATTGTCATTATTTGTTTAATATTTTTATAAAATTGTTTATTTTCTTATATTTATCTTTTTTAGTAATTCTTATAAATAATATTCTTGATATTATTATATTATTATTATTATTTTCATTAATTAAAAAAGTCAGACTAATTTATGGAATTGGTAAGAATTCAAATTTGTAATAATGAGTGTGATTTTAGTTATTTTTTATGTACATTTTTTTATAAAAATAAAGTATATGTGAAAAAAATTATTTATTTAATTTAATTAACTTTTGCCAATGTGTATATGACAAATAAATAAATATCCATTTGATAATTTGTCTAAAATATTATTTTATAAAGATGTCATAGTAATTTACAAAAAAGAAATTATCATAACATTTTAAATCATCATATTTGTTGAACATGCTAGAAACTGAATTGAAGTCTAAATATACAAAAGAAATGGTAGTATGTATTTGGCTAAAGATGGTGTAAAATGACATTATATAAACTTTATAAAATAAATTATATTAATATATAATATTTTGATATTACATAATTTATCATTTATTCTTGAATTAAGTCTCCTTAGTTTATTTAAATTTGACCATAAGGCTTCTGCAAGTCAAATTGAAGAAAACAATGTTATAATTAGTCATGGATGTTTTGATTAATAAACAAACTGTTGAGAACATATCAAATTAAAATTACATCATTAACTTATAATTAAATATAATATTTGTTATTATCATCTATAAACCTTAATATTTATTTCAACTAAATTTATTAACTATAATATAATCACTCGTGCATGTATTTTTATGATGCGTGAGACAAATTATTCTTTAGAAAGCAATTAAAAATGACAATAGAAATGATGATTTTACATATTGATTTCCCGACAAATAATAGAGGAATAAATGAAGAAAGCATGATAAAAATAAACTATATATTAATTCACAATAGTGTTATGAATCATCTACAATCATTTTCATGCTATGAATTAACTAAATACAATAATATTTAAAAACACTAACAAATGTAACATTAGTTTCCTGTAAAAAAAACATATTTGTTATGGACCAGGAATAATAAAAGAAGATAAAATGGTTCAAATCATCAAAGAAACTGGGTGATATAAGTTGACTCACTAAAATAAATAAATTGAAAAATCTCTAATCCATGTCACTTAATAATTAGTTGACAAATTGATCTATTTTAATAAGTTGATAGGTTAAAATGATAGGCAGATAAATTAACTCACATTTAATCTTCTCAAATTAAAAAGGAAATCAATTGAAATATTTTCACTTTAATTTAATTTTATTATTATTTATAAAATTGATTAGAGAAAATATATTTTTCATGCAAAAAATCAATATAATATATATTTTTATTATAAAAAGACAGTACATGAAAATGCACTAATAAAAAATATGTGATTAAAATAATATATTTTTATTTCATATAGAATAAAAATAAATATCTAAAAAATATATAATTATAAAATAAAATATTGATTTAACATAAATTTACTATAATTTTTTTTTAAAATATAAAACAAGTACAGAAAAGTCGGCCGGAGAGTTGAGCGGCCAAGTTGATGGGTTGGACATGTTGAGTGGCAAGACAGATTAATATTGATAATTTTATTTATCAAAATACACAAAAAATAAGTGGATTGGAGAATTGATCCAATAAATCTAATTCATGGATTAATATTGGTGGTTTATGTTAATAACATACAATATGAATTACAATAATTTTTTTCTTAAATAACACAAATTTGTTTAGTTTATTAAGTTCCATTCTTTGATAATATTAATCAAATGGGTATTTATAAAACAGTGAGCTAATTTAAAATAATTATTCCAATACCAATATAATAAAAAAAAAGTAACATATAGATATTAGGTATCGTCATTTTCTTTTGTAATCAAATATAAGTATAAAAAATTATAATAATAATTAATTTTACTAGTGAATCCAATTTTATATATTAAGAAAATATTGTTTAGAATAATTCAATATCTAATCTTAAAACTTTGGTCCAAGTTTTCTAGTTCAATATCTATAAATTTTACCGCACATTTTTTTAGCGCATTTTGTATGTCTAAAATTCTAAAATATTAAGTAAAAAAGAAGAAACTAAGTTAGAAAATAGGTAGTAATCATGATATAAAATATTAATCATAACATATTAACAAAATGATAATTTTTTTTATCATTCTTGCTTCATGAAATAATACAATTTATATTGGGAAAAAATGGTAAACCAAAATCCTTACATAAACTCACTCCTTAATTGATAACAACATATAAGGATCTCTAGATCATTTCTAAACCAACGAAGGGCAACATATCACGGAACTAAATTATTAGGCTAACAAACTCATACTCTCCCTAAATTTACATATAAAAAACATTGCTGAAACTTTATTACTAAAATATAAACAAATTTTAATAAAGTCGATTTCATTCGACTTTTTAATTAAAAATACTCTTAAAATAATAAATAAAAATATTATGTAAAATTGTGATTAATAATATTTTAGGAAATATAATATATATTTTATATGAAATTGTGAAAAGTAAATATATTTAATTAATTTTTTTAAACTGTATGAAATTCGGTTTTTGTTTTTTAACTTTTGTCTTATGTTCATATCGTTGTGAACATTGCACACAAAATTTGTTTTAGGTCGCCAGAAAAAAATCACCTACGGCTACAATCTCAACATGTAGAAGCTTCAATTCACTCACATTTTAATGGTAATGTATTTCTTTTTTTGGGTATAGTAAAATGGTAATGTGAATGAAATTATGTAAAATATTATATTTCATTTTGTCTCTTCAAACAGTGGGAAATAACATTTTAGTCAGTTTTAATATTTTTTATAATTCATTCATTACTTTGTCAATAGAATACATTTCTCTCCTCTTTTATGTCTTATCACCTTATTTTCTCTATTTTTCTCTCTTCTCTGTGGACATTTTATTCAGTAAGATCCTTTATGATTGTAGCCTTAAGCATACAAACAAGTCTAAATGCATGGCTTAATCACATAGGGATCAATTTTGGATATTAAGCTGTATTGAAATTTTGCCAGAATTTACTTTAGAATATGGTACCACCATCAAATTCTTCCTAGAGTTTTTTACTCAAATAATATCATTTTAAAAAAAATTTACCTAAATAAAAATTATGTAAATTTATTTCCCCAACTAGTACTATTTACTGCTCACGTTTCGGAACGGGTCGTTCTAAAATCAGAATGAGCTGTTCTGGATTAAAAAATAACATATGAAAAACAAATCAGAACAAGCCGTTCCAAAATCAAAATTAGCACATAAAAAGTGGAACCAGAACGGCCCGTTCTACTTTCAGAACGGGCTATTCTGACTTACAAATAATTTTTTTTTTTCGATTTTCACTTATCAAATACCAAAACTTAGAAACTAACATCAAATAATTAAATTTATTGAATATTAACATTATAAATATATCTAAATAAATTTATTAAAATTCAATACAACAATAAAGATCAATGGTGGCAGAAACTGATTATGTTGTTCTCTAATGTCCATCTTTGTTTTAATCTTGCTAGACTTTGGCCGACCCTTGAAAGTTCGCTTGAGTTCTAGATTTGGCCACAAAGTTGGACCAGTGTAAGTAGGTCAATAATTTTCATGTCGGAGCTCTAAACTGTCCTTCATATACCTTTTTGGAACTTGTCGAAATCATACCACATTTCATTTAGCCTTATTGTAAATCTTCCAACAAGTCAAACTTTTCTCGGATGTAATCTTCATGTCGAAGCTCTCCAAACTGTCCTTCGTATACCTTTCTGAAATTTACCGCAATCATACCACATTTCATTTAGCCTTACTGTAAATCTTTCAGCGGGTCAAACTTTTCTCAGATGTAATCTTCATGTCGGAGCTCTCCAAACTGTCCTTCGTATACCTTTCTAGAACTTGCCGCAATCATACCACATTTCATT